CTGGCGGAAGTACTTGGCAGCGTTGACCATGTTGACCAGGGCGGCCTTGGTCTCAGCCCACTGGCGGGTCTTCAGACCGCAGTCGGGGTTGATCCAGAGCTGCTCAGGGCGAAGACCGTTGTTAAGCATCTCCTCGATGCGGGTCTTGATCTCCTCCTCTGAGGGAACACGGGGGGAGTGGATGTCGTAGACACCAGGTCCGATGTGGCGGGGGTAGGCCTTGTCCTCGAAGACACGGAGGAGCTTGGCGTCAGACTTGCTGTTCTCGATGGACAGGACATCGGCATCCAGCGCGGCAATGGCGTGGAAGAAGTCCTGGAACTCGGAGTAGCAGAAGTGGGAGTGGATCTGGGTGGAGTCCTCAACACCGGCGGTCGACAGCTTGAAGGAGTCGACGGCCCACTTGAGGTAAGCCTCACGCTCGGAGCCGGTGCGGAGGGGGAGACCCTCACGGAGGGCGGGCTCATCGACCTGGATGACGTAGATGCCAGCGGCCTCAAGGTCGACGACCTCGTCGCGGAGGGCCAGAGCAAGCTGCTGGGCCTGGACGGACTGGTGAACGTCGTCACGGGGGAAAGACCAGCGCAAGCAGGTGATGGGGCCAGTAAGCATGCCCTTCATGGGGCGAGCAGAGTTGGCGGCGGCGTACTTGGACTCCTTGACGGTCATGGGCTCGTTGTTGCGGCGAGAGATATCACCGACAACGATGGGGGGACGGACGCAGCGAGAGCCGTAAGACTGAACCCAGGCGTGGGTGGTGAAGACGTAACCGTCCATGCGCTCACCGAAGTACTGAACCATGTCGTTACGCTCGGGCTCACCGTGGACGAGGACGTCCAGGTCAAGCTCGTTCTGGATCTTGATGGTCTCCTCAATCTCCTTCTCGATGAACTTCTCGTACTCCTGGGCAGTGATCTCGCCCTTGGTGAACTTGTTGCGCTGGATACGGATCTCCTTGGTCTGGGGGAAGGAGCCGATGGTGGTGGTGGGGAAGAGGGGAAGCTTCAGGTGCTTACGCTGAGCCTCAATACGGGTAGGGAACTCAGACTTGCGGTTGTGCATGGCCTCAGTGACCTCAGACTGGCGCTTCTTGACGTTGGGGTCGTTGGTGCGGGCAGAGGTGGCGCGGGACTGGATGTCCTTGGCGTTCTCATCGAGCTTGGCCTGGACAGAGGCAGCATCGGTGATGGCCTTGGCAATGGTGGCAACCTCGGAGGCCTTCTCGGAGGCGAAGGAGAACCAGCGGTAGACCTCCTCGGGGAGCTTCTTCTCGGAGGCAAGAGTGTGGGGGGTGTGGAGGAGGGAGCTGGAGGTGGAGACGATGACACGGTCCTCGCCGACCTTGGCGATGGCCTGCTTGACGGTGTCAATGGCACGCTGGAAGTTGGTCTTCCAGATGTTACGGCCGTCGACAACACCGGCAGAGAAGATCTGCTTGGGGCCGAGCTTCTCGAGAACGGGGCTGAGCTGCTCAGGGTTGCGGACAAGGTCGACGTGGAGACCGTAGACGTTGCTGATGGCGGGGAGAACATCGAAGTTGTGGACGATGTCACCGAAGTAGGTGGCCAGAACAAGGTTGGGGAGGCCAGCACCGACAAGCTGCTCGTAGGCGGGCTTGAAGGCGTCCTTGGACTTCTGGGGAAGGTCGTAGACCAGAATGGGCTCGTCAATCTGAACGGTCTCGGCACCGGCAGCCTTGAGCTGCTTCAGGAGCTCGACGTAGACGGGGACGAGCTTGTCGAGGAGGGAGATGGGGTCAACGGACTGGCCACGGTCGGGCTTGCCGAGGTGGAGGAAGGAGACGGGTCCGAGAAGGACGGGGCGGGTGGTGATGCCAGCGGCCTTGGCCTCGTTGAACTCGCGAACGGGCTTGGGGTCGGAAGCGAGCTTGAAGGTCTGGCCATCCTGAAGGGTAGGCTTAACGTAGTGGTAGTTGGAGTCAAACCACTTGACCATTTCCTGTTGATGGACCCATTAGCACATGGTCCAAGCTTTTTTGGATTTTTTTTCTGTGTCGGTTTTTGCCAACAGCTCAATTGTTTGAGCGGGGGCGGGGGCGGGGCTTACCAGAGAGGGAACGTCGATGCCATCCTTCTGGTGGCCACGGCCCATGGCGAAGTACTCGTCAATGGGCTCGAGCTTGGTCTCGGCATAACGGGGAGGGACAGCCTGTTTGTTTCGTAAGCTTGTGATTCTATGTGATATTGGTCATGGATGGAGAGGGGGGGGGGGGACGTGAGTCACGTACGTTGAAGAGCTGAATGTGGTCGAGGACGTGGTCGTAGTGAGCAAAGTCGTTGCTGGGGATGATGTCGACACCGGCATCCTTCTGGATCTGCCAGTGAGCAAGACGAAGTCTCTTGCCCTCAGCGAGGAGCTCATCGCGGGAGAGCTTGCCGCCCCAGTAGGCCTCGTTGGCCTTCTTGAGGTCACGGTTCACACCCATGCGGGGGAAACCAAGGACCGATGACTGAACCATCTTGAATGCTGTTGCTTGTCTGTGCAAAGTATTCAAATGTGACTGAAATGTGCGTTGTGTAAAATTACCTCGCCGACAAGAAGCAAGGTAAGGAGGAAAGAATTTGGAAGACAGGTCGGTTGAGGAGGGGAGGAGGAAGAAGGGAAGAGTGAAACGGATGGGAAGAAGGCGGAGGAGGGGTTAATAGAAGTAGTCGGACGGACAGGCGAGGAGGGTGAGAAAGAAAAAAAAAAAAAAAAAACTCTACCAGGTAGGTGGCCGAGTCGGTCGGTGAATTGGGCAATTGCGTGCGAAGGTACGGCGGAAGATGAGGAGGGGAGCAACAGCACAGCAATGGAAGCTCAGTGGCTGGGGTGACGGGTCCCGGGTCCAGTCAATTGAGAGCGAAGTCGGCTTTGGATCTTCTGTTTCCCTTTGGTTCCCTTTGGGATTTCCCATTTCCCTTTTCCCACCATACGGAGACCTTACGGAGACATAAGGTACACTACGGATACCCTACGACCAGCCATTGACCCGGTGATTTTGTCTCTATCTGCTTGGTTTACGAATTTTCTGCTTATGCCTCTCCCTCGATTTCCTTCCTTCCTAAGTTCCTAAGCTCCTCCCTCCTCTTCCTAGTACGGTCAATGGTGGTATCATGGCCGTTCCTACCTACCCCTCCATTGCGTATGCCTGGTGCTTGCCCAGGAAAGAAAAAAAAATGAGGCGAGAATTCTTTTCCCACCATGGTCCCTTAGCGTTAAGGTGGGGTGGTTTTGGAAGGGAAGGAGGGGTTGTCGCAGATTGCCCTTGAGATACTGCCCTCTGACACGCCCTGAGAATGCAGCGTGGCGTGAAGCTGGAGACTCGATTGGGGAAAGGTCTTTGGACGCATCCACCCAAGCAAGAAACATTTCTGGGCTGCTGATGGCGGGGTACAACAATTGAACAATGTCACTACCCTACCGTGAGCTATCAGTAGCTATCGTTTTTAACTGGGAGTTCCCGGCGGAAACACACGAGCCACCCATTGTTCTCTGTTAGTGCCCCTCAGTTCCACACCTGAGAGGCAACGTACACAGTAAGATGGACCCGAGTTGTCACCGTCACTTTGCGTTGCGTTGAATGATTATCATCTTCTTCTGCCTTCCATTTTGCAAGCTGACGTGCCGTGCCTCCCTCGCTTGTTCACCCACTGCGTCGGTGTGCCTGAGGATAATGGCCCGAATGGTCTAGAATCTGAGACTACTGGCTGTACGTGCCTGTTGATGCATGACACGACAACTCCAACATTGCCTAAGGTAAGGTAGGCGCTTTAGGGCAGGGCAAAAGGCAACTTGAGATTGTCCATGTACATGACAAGTTTGGCAAATGTGAGAATAGGTAGCAACCCAAAGTCAAAACAACAGACGGGAACCTGCGAGCAAAGGAAACTCAAGAAGGAGGGGCAGACGTTTCCCTATTGGCTGAATCCTACTTGAGTGCGGCAGGAACGCAGGGGACCTGCCTCGATATGGAAGGGCGGTGTGGGAAGTCGGGGAATGCACCTCCAGCCTGCGTGCCTGCCTATCTGTCGTGAGAAGTTGAGAATATTCGTAGGTACGTATAGGAATTCGAGCCTGAGGGAAAGAACGTTTTCTCATCTTCTTACCTTACAAGTAACGCCTTGGGCTTATCGTGCTCGATGCTGCCCGCGGCACGTGCGCGCTCGACGCTTTGCCTCAGGTACGAAAGTAATCCACTCGAGCTTGCCTGGTCCCATTTCTGTCGCTAGCTTCTCTTTTCATTCGCTCAATCCACCGCCTTACTGGAGCCGCCGCACCTTTTTTTCTTCCCCTTGCTTGAAGCTGCTTGTCGGAGACGTGCTAGGGTGACCTTACTCAAGCGTGTTGAGCTCTGCGCGCTTCAGGAACCTCCGCCTCGGATTCCATGGGCATCCTCACCGTTGTTGACGACCCCTTCTTGACTCTCGCGGCTTCACTAGCTGCGCTGAGTTGTCACCTTGTCTTGCTCTGTTGAGAAACTGATGCAGGTTGCATTCCTGAGTCGTCTGCTTCTGTCAATCAATGTCTCACTCTCACGCGTCAACTGTCTCCCTCGATTGGACGAGCCTTTCCTCCTTCAACTGAGGCCATGACGGCAATTGCAGGTCAAACGTCGAGACCGCCTCGAAGCCGTTCTAGCTCTCTCATTGTTTCTTTTTCCTCGACAACGGTAGCCAATAGTGAATCAGCCGCCACTCGTCACCGCTTCTTATAATGGCCTCCCTCGATGCACCAAGATTCAAGACAGACTATGCCAGTCTGGACCAACAGTCATGTCGCTCGCTTGATAGTCGTGGAAGCAGTTGAAGCTTCCGACGTCGACTCTTTCGTGATCACCAACACTGCTCATCCGCTAACATCAGAGCGGCGTGGGGCCTTCACACGGCCGCCATAAACGCATTTTTCGATTCTGGGGCAGTCCGCAATGGCGTGATCGGCGGCAAAAAAAGATCCAGGATCCCGACAGTCAGCCTGGGACCTCTGGGTGACTGGCACGAATGGCACCGACTGCCAACGGGGTCTACGGCCTGCCTCTACACAGTAGACTCTTTTCACTGGAGCAGGTTGGAGCACACTGGAGTAGGAGACTGGAAGCATGGAGCACGCAGAAAAATCCGCGCAAAACCTTCCCAGCAAACAACCCTGGCTCCCGGTTCTTCCTCTTGTTACGGGTCGGGGTCTCATTCTCGAATCTCGAGTTCTCAAACCCCTACCGCCAACCCCACCTCTCCATACCCGTACATCGGAGCCAGCACGCGCCGATATTGCAGGTTGAGAATGACCGGGCTTTTCAATGGGCACCGCCTCCAACGCTGCCGCCCGGCCCGGCCACAATATGCCCTGTGCTCGACCAAGCAAGCCTCCTTGGCCCCCTTACCAAGGGCAGCGGGCTCAAGGAGACTTTTTAGACTCTTTTTTCGCGGGTCGCCTAGCGTCGAATCCGGCCGAGACCCAGTTTCAAGTCTCCGACTCTGCACCTCGTATTATACGGGCCTTCACTTTTTCCATAACCTCTTCCAGACTCTCAACTCCACGACTGAAACCAAACGTCCCATGGTAGCGATATAGGTGCCCGGACCTTAGCATCCCGTCTTTCTCCTCCATGAGCAGCAGGATTTTCCCGCCCGCGTTGCACTGCCTCGACGATCCAAGCAGCATCAGACGGACACTTGGGTCTTGGAATGCAACAACGCGGCGGCGCAGTCATCTTTTGATTCCTCGGGCTTGGAATGCCGTCAATGCCAGCTACAAGAGCTAGTGCTTTAGAGCATTGAAGTGTCCCCCTTCGCAATGACGCTGGCTGGCGATGCCTTCAGCCATGATCACTAGCCGAGTTCAACAGGTTTAAGCAATCGCGATGAGCCTGCCAGAGCGAGTATTCCCCGCGCGACAGTCCGGGATAGTGGGTGGCACCGAAACATGATCCTTCTTGTGGGCTTGTCTAGCTTGTTTACTGGCCACAACTGACAAGGAAACGACGATTCAAGACGCCTCATGTTTTCATCCGACACAAGACGCTCATCCCAAGGCATCAGTTGAACTGCCTTTTTTTGCCGTGTATATAGAAAAAGGACGACGCCACCAAAAATAGGAGATCAAGAAACCATCGTTGCACTGTCTCAGGATAGATTGAGAGATTATCGAGCACCTTGGCTTACCAAAAAAAAATCTCGCCAAACCTTTGATTGCAACTCCGAGCCAGGTGGGAGCAGGAGATCGCCTGCACAGACGAGACAGTTCATGACAGGGCTCGGCGGGAACGTCAAGAACTGCATCCAAGCACCGCACCCCGGTCCTATATCAGCCACGGCTAAGATGCCCCAAGCTTCCGCTCCAGCCGTGTCCCACGAGAACACAGCCAACAACCCTGTCGCCTGAGGCAGTTGAGGGAGCACTTCGCGCGGCACGACTCCCACACCAATGCACTCAGTGCGTTTGACAATGACGTTTGAAACCAACACCCCTACCATCCCAAGCAGCATCATCTCGTCTTTGACGTGAATCGCTGCCCCATATCAGCGTTCTGTTAAGCTGAGGATGCAGCAAGAGTCCCAGCAACTCCCGACAAGCCCCAGCAAAGCCCCGGCTGAGCACCAAGCCAGCCACACCCTTATACCCTCCTTTCTGAAACTGGCTTAACATCGATTATCACGTATAAGCTTATTCATACACTGCACTTGGCAGACGACACAGGGGCCATGGTGTTAGGGAAGCTCGTGTGTGACCGTGTAGTTCCCCATATCTGCGGCGCCTCTACCCTGCCAAAGTTGCATCCAGACTTGGAGCAATTGATAATGAAGAGCGTCCTCAGATCCATCTAGGACTAGTTCTGGTGTGCTCTCTCTTTTCTCTTCTCAAGCTCTCTGGGAGAGTGAAAGTAACAAACGAAGTCAACGGCCTTTCATTATTCGTGTGCTCTGGGTTTTCTGGATTCTTCAACTTTTTTTAGTACTTTCATCTACTTTACTTTCTCATCCAGAGCTGGCTCTTATACCAAGTGCTGGAACACTATCTTCACAATGGCACCCATGACTAGACCACAGGGCATCTTCCACAGACCATCAGCGTCTAATGTGTACGTCTCCTGCAATACGTCAATGTCCCTCAACCTGATCTAATCTTCTCTTTCACAGATCATCACACGAAGATGATAACCTAGCGCGCGTATTCGTCGGTCGAGGCGAGAAGATGAAGGAGTTCCGTATCAACAAGCAGAAGCTCAGCAACGCTGCCCCTTTCTTCGAGGATCAGCTGGACGCTACACCAGCCGGCGTCAAGGTGACGCCGAACCAGACACCAGTGCCGGTATGGTTACCGCAACAAAAGTCGACTATCCGCCTTCCCAACGAATCCGCCTCCATGTTCGAGCTGTTCGTAGTATGGCTGCATCAAAGAGACGGCTTCCGCAGACACCTCGACGAGATGATCACTCTCGTCAGTGATGCCCCTGGCGTACCGTGCCAACGACTTCACTGGGCTCTGGTTCGCCTTCACATCTTCGCTGCTCGGCTCGATCTGCATCACCTGCAAGACCTTGCGATTGATGCCTTGCAAGACATCTACCTCCGCTGCGACTGGGATGTCACACCTCGCTTCGTCCAATACGTTTACGGCCAGTGCGATGCCGAGTCTTCGATGCGAATTCGGAGGTGGACCGTAGCGATGGTGGCCTGGTCCGTTGCTGGAGGTTCGTCGTCGATGGTGAAGGACGATGGCGGGCTCGAAAGGTTTCAGGAAATGTTTGAGCGCTTCCCCGACTTCGCAACCGAGTTCACCTCGCACCTGCGCAAGATGAAGTCGAGCAAGCTGGACACACGCATCAAGAACCCTCAACTGCGCATCCCGGCTAATAAGCTTCGTAACGAAGAGCGCCAGTTCGGTTTCAGGCAATGTTCGTTCCACAGCCATCGGGCTGCCGTCGGCGAGCGTAGATGTCCTCACACCACGGCCAGCAGGGAGCTGGATAACTTTCTACTTGTGCCGTTGGTGATGGAGGTCGCCCCAGAACCAAGCCGTGGCCATTCCCGTCGCGACATGCGGATACCACAACCACCTTTCCGCCGAGAACGGATGCCTTACACCGCGCAGGTGTTTTAGAGGGACCGTGAACATCGCCAACCTCCACGGGTGGAGGGTGCCCGTCTAGTTCGGCGGAAAACCAAACTCATCAAAGACACACACCAAAATTCTAATTCTTCAACTCGTCATTCGAAATCACCTCTTCCTCTTCACAAGTCCTCGGACTCGGTCCTTCTAGGGACCGGGCATCCATGAGCCATGAAGACACCGAAGCCGTCTTTCGGCTTCGATGCCTGGCGGAAAGCGACGCGACTGCGTCCCGCGTCGGCAAGCTCGAAAACGAAACTACCGCTGCCGTCGCACTGGCCGAGGTCGATGGACTGCGTTCCAGGCTTGACCAGGACGGTGCCCAGAAGATTCTGCTTCTGTCGTACGGAATCGTCCCCTTCGTAGCTGGGGACGCGGAAGACGCGCATCGTGGTGGCGCCCTCGCGCTGGATCAGCTCCCAGCTCTCCGAGTCCTCGGGCATGGTGAAGAGGAGGCGGCACTCTGTCGATTCCTGTTGTCCCTGGACGCCGCCAAAGGTGACGAGTTGTGCGACTCTGTTCGCCTTGTTTCCTATAAAAGAGAACCGTCTGAGTACATTCATTCATTCATTCAGAATCTCCTTTGTCAGGGAAACTATACACCAGAGAGGCATAGTTGCCAACCCAAAAAAGACAAGAAATTTCAAAAAAGCACCAAAAAAAGAAGGAGTCCTACCTGACGCGTCAATATCTTGGTTGACGTAGAAAAAGGCGGACGGATCCTCCTGTTCGAAGGGTTGATCTTGCAAAAGCCAGGTCAAGGAGGTCGGGGCATCGACGCGCGCGCAATCCGTCATTGCGTCGTGCTGTTGCTGTTTGCCGAAGAAGCTAGCTCTGCCGAACGCGGTTCCGGAGAGCGAGAGGACGAGCATGGAGACGATGATGCTGGGACGAGCCATATTTTTTTGAATGTACATATTCAACTACCCAGTAGGGGGGGATGAATATCCTGGATTACTTTTTTCCAAATAAAAAGAAGACACTAGATGTCTTTTTTGCTGGACTTTTTTCTTTCTCTCGATTCCCTATTTTAAGCTGTGACTGTTTCCGACGAGCCGGTAATAGAAAGTTAAACCGGTGTATCGAGTAGGTGAGAGTGTGTCACTTGGATGATCGGCGGTGATTTGAGGAAGGGGTCCAGGTCATCCGTGGAGGTGGGATGTAAGTCGAGCACACACTATCCGAGCACCAGTGGAAACACAACCGTCGTCGTCGTTATGTCGTGTTATGGAAGGGAGCACAAGAGCAGTTCAATAGGATGACGAGAAGGAATAAGAATAAAGCCGAGATTCAGGTTCAAGAGGGCGGGAGGAAGGGGAAGGAGGGGAACGGGTGGTGCGGTCCGACACGATATTATACTCTGGACGTACCCGATCCCGACTTTGACTTTTGTGCTCTGATCTGGGTTAGGTACCATGTAGGCAGCCGGGCGTTCTTGGTGGTGGTGGTGGTGGTGGTGTGGTACAGGGGTTAGTTAGAAAGGGAAGCTTTTTGGTGCTGCTCAGAACCCTTTGGTTGCAAAAAAAAAGCTTGGTCTCGCTCTTGTTTTTCTGCTTGTCCGGGTCATCAGACCTCTGAGGTACGAAGTACTCCGTACACACTGGACTCTACGGTGTTTAAAAGTGTCTAAGTTAGCGAGGTATTATACGTTTCTCTTCCCCCCCCCCATTCCCGAGCGGGCTTGTGACACCCGGTTCTGGCGCCGCTTTGGGCTTCTCTTTGGTTTGCGTTTTGGTGCTTTCCCCCGCGACGGCGCTGACGCTGATAGAGCGAAGTTTTAGCGACTTTGCTTTCGATTGTGTTTCTGTCTCTTGTGTCCGCATGTCTGTCTCCTTTGCTGTGTATCCCCTGTATTGGTTCCCGTACCTCCCAGGCGCAAGCTCAGGTTCCACCGTCCGTCATCAGCATCCCTTGCAGTTTTCCCCCCTCCCTTCCCCCCGATGACCCCCCCTCCTTTCTTATTTTCTTTCTGTAAGGTACGTAAGGGGCGATGATGCAGATGATGATGGGGTTACTGAATACCTAGTGAATCCCCCCCCGTTCCCGGAACATGTGTGTTCGATATCCCTTACCTAAGTAGGAAAGAAACGAACGAGGCGTGGTTCGGTTCGTGCCAAAGGGGGGGGGGGGGGGGGGGGGGGGGGGGGGGGGGGAGGGAGGGAAAAAAAGGGAAGGAGGATCCCTTTTGGGGACGAGGGGCGAAGGGGGGGGGGGGGCGGGGGGGGGGGGGGGGGGGGGGGGGGGGGGGGGGGGGGGGGGGGGGGGGGGGGGGGGGCACGGGGCGAAGAGCCAAGGGGAAAAAAGTGACATTGGACTGACCTTATTGCGGTACAATGTCAGAATGTTAAGGCCCGGCGAGCAAGGGGGTGCCCGGGGGAGTCGGGGGACGGAGAGGCGCGGGTGCACAGCTTTTTAGGCAGACGACACTTTTTGTTTTAGTGCGGTGTAAGGCAGACCTTTGGATCGAGAGGTACTACCTAGGTATTAGCCCGCGATTGTTACCTGCCGGGATTGGAGCTGTACGGATAGAGTGGTTTCTTCGGATTCACACCCAAGCTTGCTCGGTGCTGGCCGTTTCCAGTTTCTTGTTCTCGATTTCCTGTTTAGGACAAGGTTTTTGGCTCTCGTTCGGACCACGGGTTGTGTCAAGTTCGTGGAAGGTTCGTGGTATTACTGCCAGTGTTTGGTTTGGTTTTGGTTTTGGTTTTACACCGGTGGGACTATGAAATGTCTCTGACAGACATTGGACGACTTTGTATTCGATACAGGAACTTGAATACATATTGGTCGTGGTACCGGAAGAGATAAATCTGTCGACGGATGCGGTGGTGCATTCATGGGTACCTTGAATCACCCCCGGATGAATGCTACATTATCAGGCAAGGGATGACCAAGAAGCTAGGCTGACTGACGATCGAAGGAGAAAGCAGCACGAGAGGAACACAGGAATTAGGAAGACAGAGAGAGAGGCTCAGCCCTGGAACCATTCCGAGCCAAGAAAATCGTCTTCTTGTTCCTTTTGCGCAGCGAAAGCTCCAGGGCCCCATCAGCCCCTAATCCCAGCTTCGACGCGTGCAGACAAGGGCAGAGCCTGAATTTGAGTTAAGGTGCCAAATTAGGGTAGCTCGTGGGATATCTTTTCTCGGGGAGAGAGAGTCTTGGCTTTCGCCGGGTCAATACCGTCATGACGGATCCTACCCGTCCTCCCTGCCCCTACGTTCGTTTCTCTTTTTGTGTTTCCCTCGGGACTGGGTGGCTGTCAGCGCAGGGTTCTGGCTTGAATGCGCGGACGGCGCACTTACACGCGCGCGCCGGGTTGCGCGCACGCGACAGACCCGAGCTGTGGGTTGGATGAACCCACACGTCTTCCCATCCTCCTGGGGTCGGGGATCTTGGGTGAGCCCGTCCTCTTAAGCACTCGACAAGGGCTACAGACGTGTTGATGCATGAATCATTTCCAAATTCATCGGGGGAAGTTTCACAGAGTCAATCGAATTATCAAAGACTGGAAGACGCATCGCAACGTCTCGCAGATCAGTCGGCTCCTCACGCAGTAAGCACTTTGACGAACGGAGAAGATGCGCTTGCGCTAGTCCCCTGTCCCCGTCTGCCGTCTGCGTACATTGACCCCGCCGGGCCCTTCGCGTCTCTCCTCTCTCATCCCCCATCGTCCTCCGCCGGCGCAGAGGCTTTCCGTCCGGACGAAGATAGGACCGCCCAAGTTGGGAACTTACGTCGCGTGCCGTCTGCATTCACCTTATTCTGCGAGATTGCCTGGATCTGAACGGACGCTGGTTCGCTTGCAAACGCAGAGTCCCCTTACCTAGCTGAAAAGGCCCTAGTATCCATCCGTAGAAAGAGGTCTTCCCCAACTTTGTGGGAGGCCTTTTTGGGGTATTGGGAAATGAGCTTTTCGTTGGCCTTATGGGGTTAGACGGTGGGCATTTCTCAGTGGTAAATACGAGCATAGCGTGCGAAAGTACGTAGGGACGATCTTTCTTCTTCACTTCTTTAGCCCTTGGAGTTAGGGTAGTGTACGCGGGATGGCGGATTCCTTCATTCCATGTCAGAGTGGACAGGCAGAGAGAGTTGTGGAACTCCACGAGCTAAAATAGCACGGAGATCATTTTATTTTCGTATTCCCTGGACCTGAAGCCGCCCGTCTCTCTTCCGGCCCATGTCCCAATTATGCCCCTCGTTTGAAGGCGGGTATTCTTGAGAATTGGGTGCTGTGTCCAAAAGGTCGTGAGATTTTGGGTGCAAGAATGTTTGACACCGCGATGTTTACGACGGGATATCTTGGAGGCTAGGTTACCTCATCGGCCAGCATTCTATGGAACCAGCGCATGCGCAAGTGCTACGGAGCGTTTGCGCCTGAGTGGTTCGGAATGCAAGCCCCGCCAGCCTAACGTCCTGTTTTCAAGCGCAACTCTTCCATTCCGGAGTAGGCCTGGGATAATGCGAGTCTTTGGATTGGATGAAGGAAGAGCAAGTAGCAGACAGGCCAGACAGATGCGCGACGGAACATAGTCTCGGAACGTCAATGACATCTTTCTCTTCGCCCGACTGCTGCGCCGAGCCGCGACTCGATCCAAACCCAGGGAGATCCGTCAGGTAGCAACAGTGGATCGGAAGAGAGACAAAGTCCATTGTTGCCGGTATGAACGCACTGCATACCTATTCACCGGCCGATATGTCCGTCTTCCGTTCCCCAATCCTCTGCCTCCTCGTGTGGTCCACGCCGCCGCCGTCAGCAGCACCAAAGCCGGGCGTACCACTTGGGGGACAACGTTGCTGGGCCTCTCCGGTGGCATCCGGGGAGTGGAGTCAAGAAAAGGACTTGAGCATGGAAAGTGTGATTTGGAGAAGCGGCGCAGTCTCTTGCAAGAGATCCGTTTCGCTGCGGCCGGGACATTGTGACGCTGGCACCGATCGAGAGAGACAGACAGCATGTAAACCCGCCCGACGAAAGCATCTTTGGGGATCCGATAAGCAATGCAGCGACCTGCCCTGTCAGAATTTAGCAAGAAGAGTAGAAATCATGCAGCTCTCAGTTAGTCTCACGCGTGCGGCTAGTTGGCTAGGTACATCAAACCATGACACTAAAAGCTCTGCAGATCTCGACATCGTGTGCCAATGCAAAGTCTGGGGAAAGAGGAAGAGCTCTAGCGCGCTCTCTGACCATCTCTCAAGACCAGGCAGCACGTAATAATCACACCCTTGACTTGATCGTGGCGGCCAAGTGACCAAACGGACAGATCGAGCAAACACAACTTAAGCAACTGGGGCCGAAAGAAGCAAGCCGTGCTCTGAGAAAAGCATGCCATCGCTCATTTACACATTTCACGAGCGAGGATCGAGTCCGTCGCCGGTGCGCGTGAGCTAGCGCCCAAGACGGTGCGTTTCTTCTTGTTCCCCCGGAGCTGCCAATGCCAGCCTGGCGGACCTGTCGGTCTCGAAGCTTAAAAGCCTATGTGAGGGGGAGGAATCCCATCACCGACGCCATTTCCCATTGTAGACGTTTAACAGGCGTGTTTGGACGCGCGCGCGCGCGGGGCACTGCAGATAGATACCTTGGAGCTCTTAAAAGGAGTAGCAAAATGTCGGAGGGTACTTGGGCCGTCAGGACCATTTGGGACCCGAGCCTCGGACGCCGGGGCGCTCGCGTGGTCCGGATCGTTCGGGTCCCGCGTTGTCAGCGCAGGCGGTGTATTCCTTTCCACGCGGTACACTTGCGACCTCTGAAAGTAGTGGATCGAATTCTTCATCTGCCACAGGCTGCGGCCATGTTAATAGTGAGCAGCGATATCATTACATGAGTATTTCCATAGCGCACTCCCTCGTCCCTACGAGATCCCTCCAGCTCAGGATTTTACGAAATGAAACCAAGGGCCTTATTGAAGCAAACCGAGACGAAGGGGGAGGAGGCCTTTGGAGGCAGCCACGCAGCCAGCCCGAACACGTGGAGGAGCTATAGGAACGGCCCTTTCAGAGTTTGGCGACATTCCAACAACTTTCCTCCACGAGGGAAGGGGAAGACACTACTTTTTCCCAATGCGAAAGCGAAGGCGATGAGATGATTGCCACCAGATTCTCCGCGACCAACGCAGGCTTTCTACAAGGCATAGCCTCGAAAACCCCCAAAGGTAAGAGAGACTCGTTGAAAAGTATCCAAGGAAAACAAAGGGTCGCCGGAGATCCGAATGCGTTCGTTTCCCTTCCACATTCCCCGGGACATCGGGACGCCGGGACATGCCTAAAGCACGCAGGGGACTGGGCCAGCTCTCACGATGAACCATTGGGGAATTCCAGCACGGGACACCCGGCCGAGACGCAGTGGAGCAAGCACCTTCTCCTTTGCAAGATTTGCCATGGTCGATTCCCGACGTTGAAGGAACGCAAATGACCATCCTCTTCCTCGTGTAGAACCACACCGTTTCTCAATCCGCATTCCTCAACCGACCATCGAAATCTCACAAGAGTCCGATATCAAATTTCATGTACAGCCCCCAATTCGCGTCCCAATATCAAATATCCTCCAATCGAGTGAGTGCCTCTCACGATACCTTGGGAAATCGGCCCAGTATGTATCATCAAGCCCCCCTTGAAACGAAACATCGGCATCTTATCACCGAGCACCCGCACCATATCCCGTACCTCAATCCGAACGCACATTCCCCGACTCACGCATGCTCCAGGTACCGCCCAGACACGAACGGCACGTGAATCTCGGCTGGATAATTCGGCCCCGAGAAGCATTCTCGAAACTTTGGCCAAAATCCTTCCACCCCGCCAGTCATGATGTCCGTCTCCTCTCACCAACAAACCTCCTCATCAAATTGCAAGGCAACAGACACCATTCCATCCATCGCTTGTCTCCCTCCTCCCTCTACTTCTGAACTCATTCTCTACTGTCTTCAAATCACAAGGTATAGAGGCCAAGAATATCTCCACCTTCCAGTCCTTCAGACAGCCAAACAGCGCAATGGACTTCTTACGGATCCAACATTGCGTTCGTCAAAATGCCTGGCTGCTTTCAGTCACTCCAGGGGCGTCGCCCACTTCACGTAGCGTCAATCCATCACTCCTCTGGCGTCTTGGCTCGAGGTGAGGGACAAGACATCTTGTATTTCCCCCGCCTCCCCCGCATAGGGTCAGTTTCGAAAACGTCTCCATGTCGTATGGGAAGCTATTCGAGATCATGAGTCAAAGATACCCCAAAGCAAGGCAGCTTCGGTAAGAACTCGCGTCACCTGACGTCAGGCACAATACTTTGGAAAGAGAGTAATGCCTCACATCCATTTGTCTAGAAACGACTGTTTTGTCTTCCTCTTCACCGAGCTTTTTTTTTTTTTTTTTTTTTTTACTTTTCTGTTCCAATTGAATGCCTCATATTCGAGGTGAGCTTCTCACCCAAGCAACGCCCCGGAACCCCATACGAGGCCCGGTCGTCGATACGTACATAAAATATCCGACGTCCTTGCCGAATGTCGTTTCATCATGTCCATCGTCAATAAGAAGCCGGGCTGCGGAGAACCGACAGCTGTGAACAAAGACAAAGGAGATGTCATCCACATCGCAAACCATCTCAAGCAAAGTGGCCATTAAGTAGTCCTCCAAGCCAGGAAGGGTATCTTCCTCTCGATATGTGAAGCAAATGTGTCCGTAAGAAGTGAAGTAAGGAAATATCGGGGCCATCATCAAAGCGTGCTGTCGTCTATGTACCAGTCGAAGGGTATGTCCTTGCAGGAGTATCTCCACAGGGGTATCGAGCAGATAACTCGCATGGACTCATAAGTCGTGAGAGTAACGGGCGTAGCAACATGTACAAAGAAAATGTTTCACTAGAAAGGTGATTCAGACCGGCGGCGGTTGCTGTCTCGGCGTCTAAAGTTGCGAAGGCGTTCGTCAATGTAAGCCAAGCGGTCAGCCAGCTTACGAGGAGGAGCAGAGCCACCATCCCCGCTGGCTTGTTGCTGGATCGTAGCAAACGGGCGAATAGTGTCATGATCAAACTCTTCTGGCTGTGTGAAACGATTCGGGAAAGAAAAGCTAGTCTTGGTTCCAGGGAACGGTGATCCGAGCCTCGCAGGAGGTGCGGTTGGCGCCGCCAAAAAAGGGTCAGGCAGGTTGGGAAGCCTGGATGCAGGTATCTGCATTGGAGCTGTGAAGAGCCCACTGAGACTTGTACGAGGTACAAAAAGGTCGTCATGTGAGTTCCTATCCGTGGAACTAAATTCGACTTCTGGTTTAACCGGTGTCTTGGGTAGGGTCTCAGAAGGCACCGGCTCAGTCCAGAGGTCGGAAACAAGACTAGGTCGTTTGGTCTTGCGCGGTTCATGAGATGCTTGTCTGGGTCGTCCAACTCGCTTTTGCGTGTTCGATCGACTTCTGGTCAGACGCGCTGGCGACTGCAACGTGCGCCTGTGGCCAAGACTTTGGTTCTGTCTTTGGGGTACTGAAGAGACAGCAGCAGCCAGCGCACCAGTTGAGCTGGGCCCGTAGCTGTTGGCCATGAAAGGTGTCCCCAGTCGTGGGCGGTCTTCGAGAGGAGCATCCACCTTAGAAAACTCCATGGGGAATAGTGGGAATGGCTCAGTCATTGATTCTTGAGCAGGAGGTTCGGGTTCCGACTTGGTAAGTTGCGCCAGAGGACCCAGTGGTTGCATGGCTTCTGAAGTGCTCAGAGTAAGCGACATGGACATATCGTGAGCTGAGAAGACGGACGGGGACCGGGCCGGTGTGGATCTTCGATTCCAGAAACGCGCCGCCGTTCTGCCGAAAGGTGTCGGGCTGTTGGCGAGGAACTTGCTGGTGCGGGCCGATGATGAAGCGGCTTTGAGCTTGCACAAATCTCTCAAGTGAGCTCGGGTGGAAGCGCAAGTGTGCGGCCACTGGAGAAAGGTGCAGGTCTCGATAGTAGGAGTGCTGCTTCCGCTCTTGGGGTTGAGAGACTTTCTTCCACCCTTGGGACCTCTCCAGCTTCGCTTCGCTTCCCTCGCAACGCGAAGACAAACCCCGTGAGGCGGCACGCCACTTTTAGCGGTACGGAACGGCGTGACCTTGGGGTCCTGTAAATAAGTAAGGTAGGTAGCCCAGAGGTGGTCACTCATTGCCTTCGTCCACGGGGCCTTTCTCCTCTTTGCCTTTGGTTTGGATGAGGATGAGGGTTCGGTAGGTTCTTCAACTGCGTCGAAGAATGAGTGTTTGACGTGATCCGACGCGTCAGTCTCTGGGCTGATGCACTGCAGGTCTTCTGATGCTAGGGAGAAGCGACTGAAGAGGGAAGCGCTGGTTTGCGTGGACCGTGCGGTAGATGGCCGGCTGGACTCGCACTCCGGGGTAGACTCGCCGCTACTGAAGGCAGAGTCGATGGACCAGTTGGGATACCGTCTAGGGGATAGTGAGGGAGCGGCGCCAGGTGCTGGCGTCTTGGGTGGAGAAAAACGCCTTCCGCGAAGTTTATGTAAGGCGAGCTCGTTCAAGTCATTGAGATTGTGAATAACCGGGTACGTCATGCTGGAAAATCGTGTTTGCGTGTCCGGACCAGCCGACTCGGGCTCTTCGATGCTGGGAATCGGAACGTCGGCGGCAGCAACTGACGCGAGGAAGTGCGTCGTTGGAGCGTTCAAGTTGGATGCGACGCGCCTTTTCAGTCTCAATCGCGGACGCGGCGGCGATGGAGGCTGAAGCTCCTCGTCCATAGCGGAAGGCTCCGGTGTTTTGGGGTTTTGCTGATCCGGGTCATGGAAACGAAAGCCTTTGGGCAGTGTCGCCGCTCCGGAATGTTGAGCGTTCATGTTGGCGGAGTTAAGGAGGCGAGGAATGTCGCGACCTCTTGGAAAAATGCTAGCGGCAGGTAGGCTTCGCGATTTCTAAGCCGTTTGGTGAACGTCTCTCCGAGAACAAAGGCGACGTGGTCCTCCGATTGTTCTTGTGGCGGCAGATTTGAGACAAAGTGGTATTTGAGCGCGTGGTAACGTCCCTGAGCCTCAAAGGGCTTCGATTGACCTCAACGGCTGTCGCACAGAATGGGCGCGATATTTAGTGTGCAACACAAAATATGTCCAACACACTACCTAGGTCGTGTACTGCTCAACCAATGTAGATCCTGTAACTGGTATGGAGCGCTCAGTCAATTGCAATCAGGTATGCGACGGCCTCGGCTGGATTCGAGGATCGTGCGATTCAACAGCGCTTTCTCGTCAA